ATTTACGTGCGAACATTGTAACAAACTGCACGGAGGGTAGCGGAATGAGCTGAATGTTTGTTCATAAATTTCCTAGCAGAGGAATGCTGGCTGGCGGGAAATCTCAGGAGCCACTTCATGCCGAGGCATAATAAAACACAAGACCCTGAAAAATTTTCACGGCAAAAAAGCTGCAACAAAACAAAGCCTGTTCGAAAGTACTTAAAAATTATGCACAAGTAGAGAAGCTGGACAAGTTTGCAGTCAAATCATTGAGGAGTAAGTATTCGAGTTGAGTCATCAGGGGTGCAACAAATCTCCAACAAAACCTGCTTTTACGGCCGACACATTTTAATTATACAAAACAGAACTCGCACTCGTTAATAAATTATCCTAATTACGCGAATTTTAATAAATTTGGACTGAGCTACAGCACGCATTTGTAGACTATGCTTTGAATATTAATTTTCATATATTTAAGAGGCGCTTTGGGTTTTAAAATGCTGCTGACGTCTGGAGAAACGTAAATTAATTTACGCTTTGTTGTGTTAAATACTTATAATGTATAATACAGAAAATCCCATGTGATAAATAAGCAGATGGTTTTGCTCTTAGCCTTCGAGATGAGTCTCAACTCTCAACACATGTTGAAGGTGCACAAAGCACAAATGCATTCGAATCAAACAGTTTCAATTCAAAAATCCGCTAAGACGAATTTGTTTATTAATTCTTCAAATAAAATAATTGGCAATTATGGTATGTTCGAAACCAGATATCATTATTCATCATAATGGAGTAGGTACATCTAACTTTAATTGAGTATATTGGAGAATAATTTATTTGCAATTGGCGATATTTGCTAATTCTCGTTGTGCAAATTCATTTGTGGTGTCCAATAACAATGGTTGCCTCATGCCATATTTATTTACTCGGTTATCTGAATTGAACATAATTATTTTATTCAGTTTGCATTGATCAGAATAACTGTCGAGAGTCGGGAAATAAATTGAACCGTTATCAATATTGATACTTTGTGACATACGATGGTTTTGAAAATTACACACAAGAAAGTATGTCATTGTCGCCGCATCAGCAGAGCCATCGAAGTTAATTCAATTAGTAACGCGCTAAAAAATTTCGGACGATCGCCTCAAAATCCATAATTTCAATGCTTCACTAGCTTTCCAGTTTTATTTGATAACTCTTACTATTTTATTTATAAAACCATTAGCCTACGTACCTGGTTTCTACTCAGTCCGATTATAATTCCAATTTAAATATCGATTAAACAATTTTATATGTAAAGCATCCATTTTATGCAAACTAATTTCAGCATCGTAACAATTTATAAAATCGTGGAAAATAGACCTAACAGATGATTCTTGTGTTTTCAACAACAATTTGTCCGTAATTGGCCTTCATTCTATAAACAGGATGATTAACGTAGACCGTGCATTAGAAGTTTTAGAAACTTCAAATTTTGTTTCCGGTCATAACGAGTCAAACGGCACTACCGGAAACAAAATTTGAAGTTTCTAAAACAACTGCAACTTGGAAAACTTCTAATGTACGGTCTACGTTAATCACCCTGTATATATATACTATATAGACGTGTATACGTGGTTAGAGCAATATACCATTACGTTTATAGAGTTCTCTATGATTACAGAAACTTTATGACTAGTAGTTCGATTAGACCCCGAATTAGTCTGGGCAAAACTCTAATGTAACTTGAATGAAATTTATAGGTAAATGTCTTATTGGCACGCTATATTCCCGGCCATATTAAAACATGGAAAATGAATTAGAATAGCACGATTTGAGTAATCCGTAATATTAAGAGAGAGGACGCTTAATCAGTCTTAAAGTAACAATCAATTAATTATGCTTATTGACTGATTAAATAGCAGCAATCAGTCGTATGTGTACTCGGGCGAAAATGTTGCTTTAAGCCGACACTTGAATATCATGTTGACACATTTTACTAGTACAATATAACTCCTTTTTGTGGAATCAAGGGAAAAATGCAAATTTAGTTCCTCAACGAATTAGTATAGGCATTGGTATTGCCATAAACACGCTGTCAACCACATTGAATATTCATGCGACAACTGGATGGATTAACAATATCTTCCATCCGCCACGTTTACTCACCTTAATTTCATTAATATCCGGATTTGTACCATTAACAAGCAGATAATGGAATGCGTTCGGCCGCTTTCCACCATTATCCTGGATCATCATGGTATAGGAAAAAGTTCACAGAAATACAATCATGAAGAAAATTATGATGTTTAGTTTTTGATTGGATTCGGCCGGTTTTTTTTTCAATGCAAATTAGTGCAAGCTTTTTGAGGAAAACAATTATTTGAAATGTACACTTTATAAATATATCCATTCATAAGATTATTTGTTTAAATGCGCATTATATGGGGTCGTCAATCTGTCTGAAAAAAGTGCATTTGTTTGCATTGCATTGTTTTACGAACGCATCTAAATCGGTATTGGTACGATTTTCATGTCGATATTAAACGCGAGTTTTTTTTTGTGGAAAAAATCGACATATAAAGCGATTTTTAGTGCCGCATTAGCTTTGCATTAAAAACATACGCCGCTCGGATTATGCCGTTTTAATCCCCTTTTAAATACGATAGGGCGGCGAAAAACGCTTTTGCGTGCTTTATAGTGCGAAATAAGTTTGAACACGGTTTAACGGAAATCAGTGACCTGTTTTTACGGGACGTAATTATTCTGGAAAAAAGCGAAAACTGGCCAACAAAAGACTGTAGCTTTGAAAATTTGCTTTGATGCCAGCATGTGCATGGGAGATTTTTTCCCGTTTCGGTTTTAAATTCAATACTTTATAAATATTTTAATACGCTGTATGATCAATATCTAACTTAATAGATCCAAGCTGGGTTTGCTAAAAAAAATGATTAATTGAAAACCAGCAACTATTTGTCTTACTGTCGAATCAACCTGTAGGAAAGTATCTGGTGCCAATCTTTAGATTTCCATATGGTGTGTAATTATTGGGCTCTGTAATTAGCAACTATCTATGAGTATGCCTTGCTTTGTAGATGATAAAGTTTGCCTTACAGACATTAAATTTTTAAATGAAACGCTAATTACAGGCTGCGAGCATAGATGAAAGCGACCTATTTTTCATCGCTTGAGGCAATACGTTTAATTAATTAATTGTTTTATTGATGATATTGGGAAATGTGTTGGCTATAAGAATTTAACTTGATGAAAAACCAGTTTTAAGGGCAAGGGGATTACATATTTGTTTTAAGATATGGGCCGAAAGTATTTTTTTTTATTTCTGAGAGTTTAAACGTAAATCAAATTAGTTAATGTTGGGTAATCATGTTTCGAGGTATTGGATTATAATAGGGAAAAGGGCATGAAAATAACATAACGATGTATTTATTTCAACACAAGCAGAACGTATTTTACTATGTTGTTGACACAACGAGTTCTTCAAGGCTGAAATTCATCGGTATAAGGTATAATTCGATTGAGCTTAACCATTTACATTTATATCAGCGACTCAAAATTACGAGTCGAATTCTCTGAATATATAAACATAGATTATGGCTTTTCTCCTTTTTGCTGACAAAGAGGAATGATTTACATGATGAATATTTATGTTGTATTTCCAATACGAGCAAATAGCTGTGACTGTGAGAGACGTATGTTTTCCCTGTCGACCGCATTTGCAAGCAATAGATAACGGAAAACATAAATTAAATTTATTCCCTGCGCTAATCGCTCAGGATTTCACCGTAAAATATGACGAGACATTAAACTTCGGCCGCACCACAATTGCGAACAAAATGGCGTCCTTGCTTTAAGCTTTTAATGCCTCGGTTTCGTTGTGACCGAGCTTTTTGGACATCATGCAAAAGCGTCACCAGTTTCAGGAATATCCTGACCGATTAATGCGAGCCAGTCGAGATTAAGCTGCGCAATTTTCAGCTTTTAACTCTGTATGGGAGTCTGAAAAAACATATTTATTGATCTTTATATTTTATTATTAAAAATTATATTTCGCATGGACTATTTGTTACGTACCAAAAGTTGAAATTCAAAGTGAATACTGAAAATGATTTGGAAAATCCCTTACGACCATGGGACTTGACCGCTTCATATAGTAAACATTACTAGGTACACTAACAAATCACATGAACCAATTGTGCGTGATGTGATAAAAAGGCTAGACGAGCCTCGGATTACCGTCCTTGAAAACATTCAAACGATTATACGACACTTTGGGCACTTATGGAAGTCTTACGCAGCCAAGATATGAAGATGAAGTAGTAAATGAACCTGTGGAGGCGAATGTCTTGGCCACTGTAAGCCAAAAAAGAAGAGACACAAATTACCTATTGCTGTACAAATACCTATAGATACAATGTTTTAAAAAACGGATAGCGAGACATTGCGATTCCAACAGGTAGGCTCCTATTACCTGAATTTTTTCTTAACCCAGCCGATCAATGAGATTCCTTAAGCCACTAATTATAAATGTAAAATAAAAATTAATTAACAGCCCGCATAACAAATACACCCCGTAGAAAATTCGCATGTGCATCGCCGATAATGATGTGAAAAAAGAAATGAAAAACATTTTAAAGGCAATTACCTGCGGTGATTTATGCTCGAACGTCTGTTCGGCATGTCTTTACCGGCTTTTACATTGAAAAATCCTAGACTACATGCTATGCAGCAGGTGGTCTTTATACCGGCTCGAATAATTTTTTATTCAGTTTTTTAATGATCACCTTATTGTCAATGGGCAAAGCTTGATTAATATGCATTAGACAAAATGCGATAGCTGGAATTATAAAATGTTTTTGATGCGGCGAAGTGGCATATAAAAATGTGTTGCGTATTCAAAAAATTTACAACTGTTTTTAAATAATGATCACTACTGTATTATTACTTTTAAGTAAAAAAGTAGGCCAATTACGACTGCATTCATTGATGCAGTCCGCAACCCGAATAATACAACATTGTAATATTACTAGGAGTTACTGCAATTTATTTATAAAATATATTACACAAATTATCTACACTGTACAGTAGAGTGTTTCATTGTCAGTTCAACAGCATAATAGTAAAAAATTAGATACAGGACATGTACAATAAAGGATCAACTTATATAGCACCAGTCAAGAAACTACGACTTAACAAGAAAACGCAGTAAATATCCAATGATATAAAGGAACAATAATTATTATTTATAATAGATATTCTACTGGTATACACGACTATCTCTGAGGAACATGTCAGACATAACAACAGCGGTCGGGAAACGTACAAATTCAAGACACATGCCATATCGGAAAAATCAATGATTGTGCTCGTTCGCAATTCTTCGAATGGTAAATAAAAGAGCTATTGGCCCTAAAACACAAACATTTTTTGATTCATTATCAAAAACTACGGGGAAGTTGATGCCTGACAGGATTCGCTGAGGTTTACCACAATAGCGATCTATACGAGGGAATGCGGAAATGGGATCCGATTAAATGTACATACAAAAGGGCTTTTTACAGAAACAAAATACATTACTAAGTGCTTAAAACTACTTTCATCACAGACCAATACGCGGGCAATTTTGTCGCGTAAATATAAATTTCCTCGGCAAAACGTGGCACGTTTTCATCTAATATCCTAATTGACAAGAACTTAAACAAAAAAAAACTATTTGCAAATTATTGTTCACTGTATGTATATTGGATGCCAGTCACTGGAAATGATTGCATCTAAACGCCATTTTGTGCAACTGTTATTAATTTCCTTTCATGAACTTTTTGTCCGCTTCAATAAATTTAGAATTTCGCTTTCGTCCGAAAACCATTGTGACGTGTTAATGATTACGAAACGCATTAATAAAGCGCTTGCAGGCGACAATAAAAATGCTTAGAATCCCAGCAAAATGGGAAATAATAGAATAGTTTTGAGTTCAACCGCCTTTAAGGACCTCTTGACAAACTAAACACGTTCTTAGTTATACGTATGAACAAATAGACAAAATTCTATCTAATGATTGTCATCGCCTATGTCTATTTCAAAAAATGCCGTCATTATGTAAAATATTTTAGCGCGGAAAGCCGAAGAAAACGCGATTGCAATTTAACATTTCCGCTATGACTGAGAAAATTAATAAAGATTAAAAATGATAATGTTTGCAATTAATTAGAGCAATGCCAGCAATTTGTTATGTAGGAGTTAAACGAAACCTCTGGAGAATTACAGCGGCATGGTCCCAGGATTCTTCGAGGGTGCAAAAACATGCAAAGTTTTGCCGATCGCAAATTGCTGATTTTCATTCGCTCACTTTCTCTCTCTCTATAATATGCACACACGTTAATAACACACCTGCTGGCCAAACGGACTAGTATAGACATGACTCGATAATACAAACTAAATGGGAATAGTCACACCACAGCAGCTCGTGTCACTGGAGATTTTCCCCGAAGACACAACACGTTTAAAACAAAAATCACGTTTATCACATAATCGGAGTCAACGATCGAACCAGACGAGCATCAGCGACACCGCGAAAAGGAACCATGTACTGCTCAGACTACATCCGGCATTGAACCTGCTCAACCCTAAAGACTCTTCTTGAGCAGGACTACTGCTCCTGGATACCTTGCTACGCGTCACTCCTTCTATGTGGTTTCCATCCAGTTCCAAAACGGGTGTACCACCTGGCCATCCTTCTGTGCTGTATCTTCGGTAGTTACATTGGTCGGATATGACTCGGACGTAGGGCTTTGAAACGTTCGGGTAGTGAGACTCCTTATCGGTACCCTATAACAATCAAAACAGGCTTGAATTAAGATAGAACCGAATACAATAAACAATTATTTTATAGAATATCTAGTGTTTCTTATAATTGAATTTCTCCCTCATCGTACCAATTTGAATGGAATCTTCCTCGCTGGAACTGGAAAGTGAATTGAAACGTCATACATACAATCTTGGTCAGAATAAATATAATTTTGTACTATTGCTGTACGTTTTGTTGGTCAACGACCCAAGTGATTTAATCACATAAATTACTCACAGTTTAAATTTAAATAAGCTCGTGCTTATGCTTGAACAAGCTTTGATCTCACTTGTCGGGCAAATATGATTTAAACTGGCCAAGTTTAATTTACAGGGGCAAAGGCCAGAAATGCGGAGCTGCAAATTGTTCCCTTATTTTCACATTGTGCTCTACTCGACCAGACCCATTTCAAAAATTATTTTTAGTATCATAAACTAACCATTCCGTTTAAACTTCCTTGTTTCTTGCTCTCATTGTTGTCGGTTTTCATTGCCAAACATCATTTAATACAATCATTTATTCAAGCGATGACCTGTAATCTGCTATTTAACACAAACAGTCCATTGTTTGCATTGTTGCTTGAAGCTTTGTTCAGTTAAATCAATTAGAACGAAAATATTGTAGTCTTATCTTACGTATTCTTGTTTCTGTGATAGTAGTAATAACAGTGAGGGCAAAGCGAATAATATCAGTGCCAGGAAACGAGTCAATGCCCCATTTTCGAATAGTGGCAAACCTTGTTTAGCAGCAAGTTTAAAAGAAATTTACCTTAACCGCTGCTACGAACTTGCTGAAACTTCGACTGAAGTTTCGCAGAGAAGTTCGTTTCTACATCAATAAGTATCAGCGAGTTTCTTTGCCTCGGTTTTTTAAAATGTCGAGCAAAGTTAAAATTATACCTTTTTGTCCGTTAACTGAAGAAATATTGGGCTACTGTTTCAAGGTGTTTTCTCGAGCAGCACTCGAGCTTGAGAATAGAATTCAGAACTTTGTGACAAGTAATTAATCTTGACTAAAACTAACCCATTGGCTTTTTCTAACCCCCCGACTAAATCAATACAGTGAAAATTGATTCAAGTCGACGTGCAAGTAAAAGTAAAAATCCAAATATTTTTTGGGGTCATTAAATAAAAACACCAACTACACTACCTAAATAAGCCCATAGTGTTCTACTCAAACATCTGTTCCAAATCACATCACGCATGCATGACAAAGTACGTTTTTGTGAAGTATTTCAGTTTAAGTTTCATAAATAATTTTTGTTTCTAATTTGTAACATTTTCATTCAAGACCAGTGTGCCAATTTAAGCCTCCCCTATGATATGTGCTTATATTAATGTCGGATCCATCAGAAGCACGTATATGAAAATTTTCATTACCGACGGTATGCAACACGAATTCAAACCATCCATAATAATCAAGTTTCAACCCCCAAGTTTGGCAACATCACCACCTGTCTTTATCTATTGTGTGCTGCTACCCACCCGATTTTGTGCAGCTGGAGTTGCCAGTTTCTAGCTGTGCTTTCTAGTAGTTAATAATATGACAAAAAATTTCCAAACTGAAATGGTCAAATCGGCACCTGAATAACATTGCGCCTTGATATCGCTTCATTCACAAAACTTACCGGCAGCAAAGTTAATTGAGATGTCCAGCAAATGGGCTTAAACGAGCCCCTAGTGGTAGCATCTTGGAAAGTCTGAAACTGATTGTCCCAGTCGTAGGATACCAATCTAGACTCGAGCGTCATTCCTGCGAGCTCCGGAGGAGCAGCTATTCTTACTGGATTGGAACCCCTGAAAACGAAAAAGGACAATTGTATAATCAAATATTTGTGAAGAAACTTTCGTTTGTATTAGTTCTTTAGTATTATCAAAGCTGCTAGTGAACTTGTTTGCTTTTGGACGCCTTTAAGATATTTATAACTGAAATACAAGAAAACATATAAAGCAATAACAAATGTCTGCACAGGGGTGGATCCAGCTTTAAAGTCAGGGGGGGGGGGTTATGTAGAAAAAATACAGTCTTCTGTTATCTAAGAAATTAGAAAAATGATCGTCGTTTTGTGCAAGATTATTGCAAAATTTGATGTCTTCCGTCCCGTTTTGCATGTTTCTCGGAAGCAAAATGATCAAGAACGCTCGTTTTTACATCATTCCAGAGATACCTAAATGACGTTTATTCGAAGTTCCTCAAGAACCATTCGAGCCACAGAATGCGTTTTGGCATCGTTGGATAGAGAATCGAAAAGT